GCTCCCTCGCCTCCTTCAAGGCCCGTCTCAAGACCCTTTTCGACCGGATTTTGGTTACCCTCCTACCCTTACACCTCCTGATTCCAAGCCCCTGCTCAGGTCCAAATCCCTGACTGTCCAGTGCTGGCCTTGGGACGTCTTCCAGACACGAAAGACGCTATACAAATGTAATTTGTTGTTATTTAAACTGCAGTAAAGTCTTTGAAAATTTATTTGTAAAGATTGAAAGAGATAAGTGTAACTCCAAATACAAATTTGGAAAGAGCATTGTGCTTAAAGGTGCAAGAGTGCATGGGCCTTCCACGACCTGCTGAATTCGGGTTATCAAAAGCAGGGTTTAGTTCCTTCCTGTGGGCACCTTTTGTAACTAGCTGCTATGGTTTTGTCGTAGAGAGAAAAAACTTTTCAACGATTATTGAAGCCAGGTGTTTTGTAAACCATATCTGCCAGTACATCTTTGTATACATATCTGCCCAGATCAACCTCTGGCTGTTCGGGCAAGGCAGGGGACGTGAATCAGGGAATAATCAAAGTTCATCCACCTTCTGATACAATCTTTAGAAAGGGGTGCACCATTGGTCAGGAAGAAGGTAATTTTTCTGCAGCTTCGGGCACTGAAATACATTTTTTGCTCGTTTCAGTATGTGACAATGTATACAAATGTTCAAATTTGCTAATACTGTGGGTCCCAGCAGGCAGTCATTTATTTATTTCCACCATTATTTCAGTTTAACAAACACCACAAAAAATTGTGAAAATTCACTCAAGTATTTGTGGTTTTGTTGGTGGATTAGTTTCTTTTTTAGTAACTGATTGCTTCCTGAGAAGCTGAGGCATTCCTTTTGCTCCAATGGTCATTTCTGGATATTTGACAGATCAGTTTGTTCTGCCATGGAAACCAATAATAGCCTTGGCAACTGCAAATCTCTATTCTGGGACTGCAATTCCTGTTTTCCTTATCTGGATGTCCAGTGTAAGATTTAAAAACTCATTTTTAATTCTTTACACTTGTGTCCAAAAAATGTTTGCTTAGAAAAAGCTGCTATGCAGCTGTGAAATTCATTTACTCCAGAGGAAAACAATGAAAATTGTCTTACAACAAGAGCCTGCAGATAAAGGAGTAAAGGATTACTAAGTTTTAAAGCTCTGAACTTGAAGTAGAAAGAATGCTGCCCTGCTCAAAAAGGTTTCAACACCACAGAAGTGTTGTTCACCCAGTTTATCCTATTTACTAATTTAAAGTTGTATTTGCTGAATTTGGTTATTTAGTGAATTGAACAAATCTCACTGCAACCTCACCTGAAGGAGATTTCTCAATGGAACTGCTTTGCAGCCCTAATATCGGGGCAATCATTGCTGTGTATTTATTAGTTGATCAATGTGAAGGTGATTAGTTAGCCCCAGTGGTAGGAAGCCACTAATGTTTCTACACAATTAGATCTTTCTGTGGTTGAGATCACAAAACTATCACTGATCTTGATAGATGTGCTAAATTGCACAGCTGTGATTTATGCTATCCTGATGGATTGAAATTTCTAATTTGGTTTTGCGATGAAGTCATTCTCCTTGTAAAAAGTTTCTAAATTAGCAATTTGTGATGGGCACTGAAGCCTATTGATTTAACTGTTTGACACATACTCTATTATAGTTAAGCATGTTCGCTGTGAATAAGCTTGTGCACATGCAGTAATTTTGCGGGACAGCTGCAGAATTATTTTAAATATGGAAAACCTATATTGGTGTTGCCAAGCTTCCAGATGGAATGTGAAGTTCTGTCTACTTAAGTGTATGTTGTATAAATGGATTATTTCTATATTATACTAAGTTTCATTTCCATAATTGTCAGACATTAAAAGTGAAATATAAAAGCAGATGTAGTACAAATACTCTAGTCACTTACAGGAACTATTATTGAATGTGTTTGCTGACTGACATGAAATTTTGAGCTTGAAGCGTAAGGTGGTACTAAAGGTAGTTGACTGTCTACTTCGTTCAGAGATTCGGAGGCATAACTGCATTCTTCGCCCGGGAATTACTTATTTGTGTGTGTGGTATTCACAATAATACAGCATATGTTCTGTTGTTTGACTTAAGGAACTGGGCATTATAGGTGCAATCAAATGTCGGGCAAGTATTTTATTTGTCTCACTACTTGAATCGGGTTATCTGAGCGATTTGGATGGAAGAATGTTTGTAGTTCATGAAATAGCCAGAATCCTAATTTTGATTCCATTAATGTGATCCACCTAAGCATTGGATGACTCTAGCACATCATTGACAGCTGGGCTAAGTAGCATCATGTGTTAGTTTTTGCTTGTGTGCCTGCCGTCTTTCTCTGTAGGCAGGGGGGAAGCTTATGCTGTCTAGCTGTCATTTTGATTTACCTTTGTAGCTGATTATTCAGTGTGATTAGCCTGCATTTTCAGCTAATCCTTATTTTTGTTTTGTTTTGGCTTCCATGATAATCTTAAATATCTGAGAGCTGTTGAACCATCTTTTATGTACAAATACATACATGTACATATGCATTTCTGAATAATAGCTTTCAGAATCCTGGCCACCCATCATTTTCTGTGCATTGGAGTGGCGCACATGGATTTGGGGAGAACGAGAGACTAAATACAACACAAGGATATTCCACAGCTTTTTGAGTTTGGAAAATCTGTTCTCTTTAAGACTGTATCCCAAGATCAGTGAGCTGAAACCATTTGATTCATGAATTGCAGGTTTTAGGGCAACACGTATTAATTGATGGTGGAAAAAGACCAGGAGTCAGCATATTTTTGCCACTGATAGTTTTAGTGTTTGTTTATTCCACTTGCATTGCGGTGGAATCAAGTTAAATCAATTGCCTGCCATTTTTTAAATTTGAGATTACTCTCACCTAAACCCTAATTTTCCAAAACCATGAATTGATTTAAGTGTTGATGATCAAGAGTTATTCTGGCATCTAATTTGTAATAGCATAACCTATTTTGCAGTTCGAAATCAAAGATGTAGAAAGGGGATATTAAGAATTTGTTCAATGCGCTCAACTCTGAAATGCTAGGCACTTGCAAGTTAGAAAATCTGAATTCAGTGGAATATGCTCGTGATTGCATTGTTCCCATTCTGTTTATAATAATGAATAATAATAATCCTTGCATTTGATATAGCATCTTATCACGTCTTCGAGATGTCTCAAAGCGCTTCACAGGATATACTGTAGAGTGAATTGACAGAATATTTTGTGGGTGAAATGTGGCAACCAATTGACCAAATTGACCAAATTATTATTTATTTATAATATTTTGAAGGGATTATTACCCCTGGAAAAACGATCTGCCAATCGACTAACAACCAGGTTCCGAAACTCGCCTAAAGTTTCGCCCTGCACTACAACTGGTGTGGATTTTTGTTTTAAGATGAAACTTTAGTTCCCAAACGGCAACAGGTCGCGGGCGGAATGTGGTTGAAGTTGATTTACGAACAATAAAGCAGATATTGCTCGTGGTTTTTGGGAGGATTCTTTCCTCTGGGTTTTGTGAAAACAAGGAAAAAGCAAATGCGCAGTAGGTAAATCAGATTTTATCTTTTTCCAATACTATGTATCTATGTGTACATTTCCTGTCTGAACAATGATTCCAGTTTACATATGTGATAGATAGTGCTATAAGAATATTAATGTGTAAGCAGCAAATAACTGCTGGACATTTTTTGGTAAGCATAAAATTCAATAGTATAAATTCTTCGGTTGCATAGTTGAGGCTGATGTGCAGGATTTCCTTTCTCCTCCAAGTTGTTACACAAATATCAACTGAGCATCTCACACACTTTGGTTGGTGTTGGTATGGAGTGATACTTTGTTGGCATTCTGATACCAAGCATAATAAAAACCTTCCTGGTTTCTCTAAAAAGTTAGTGTTTGCAGGACCACCTCATAATTTGTGCTGTGCAACTGCACAATGTATGGAGCCAGCACAAAGTTTAGAAGATGGTCAGGGCAGCCTGTTTCAATACCAGTATTTTTCTAGGTGGGTAATTTCAGCATCAGTTGGAGACCAGTGAGCAGTCGGTGTTTAAATATGAATGGGAATGTTCATTTGTTCCCTGACACGAGTGGGCAATACGGCTGCTTGTTTGCACTGCTCCTGATGCTTCACTGTTTAGTGCAGTATAACTGGAGCAGAAGATGTCCCTTCCACCTGATGGCACAAAAATATTGTTGCATACTGACTGTGCTGTATGTTGAACAATTCATCCTTGTGTATATAGCCAGTCATTGCGTGCATTGCAAATGGTTGAATGGCAATGCTTTAATGTGTAGGACCATTTAAGAGGCTCAGTTAAATCTGTTGAAGCACTTTGTTATTAGTGTTGCTTATCTTTCTGCATCGCAATTTCTGGTACTTGTATATAGATTTCTATGCTTCAAGCTCACTGCATCTCCAGGAAAATCTGTTAAGTAAATAATAGGTTAGAATACATTATTTGTAGAAGCAGTTTATATGTGCATTAGATGCTCAGTTTAGTGGCATTTGCTGTACTAATATTCACCTTTGAAGGTTTTTTTAAAATAAAAAAAAAAGCACAATTGTGCTTTATGTTAGTCTGTCACCTTCTTTGCTCTTGAAGTCTCCCATCTTTCAGCTGAATTTCCCCTGCTGGCTATTGCATATAAATGGCGAATTATATTTGTTTAAGATGGAAATGATATGACATGGCAGTAAGTAATGAGGAAGATTTAAAATCGTTGACTGTAAAGTTACTTGAAAATATTAAACATTTCCCATGATCTCCATTTCTTGATTTTGATAGTGAAATGTTGATGCCATCGTGAAGATTTTCATTTTATTCATCTCAACCAGCCCATCCACTTTAAGAGTGTCGATGGTTAGAATGTTTTTAAATACATAATCTTTTCACAGTTGGTTTGTGCAGGACTTTTCCTGCTGCTGAACATTGAAGTTGGATTTCATTCCTCATGAAATAATTTGGGGATTCTTTTGGTTGTTTTTCAGTGGTGGAAGACGGTCTCTGGGAAAATGGACTCACGTACGAATGCCGAACGTTGCTCTTCAAAGCCATTCACAATTTGCTAGAAAGGTAAGGAGGCAAATCAGTCATCATATTTTGGATTTTTTTTTGTCGGTGAGTGAAGGTTCATAATATAGTTGAGCCACAAAATTGAAAAGCTGTGTAATAAGTTAGGAGATATAGTTGAGCAACAACAAACTTGGGTTTTGAAACGTCTGCTCATCTTGAGGGGCATAATTGTGAATTTAGTGAAAACTTCAATTATAGCTAATTCAAATGAGCTGGAAAATTTAGTTTTGCATTGCAATTGTACAGCAATGTTTTGACTGGAGCGGCCAGAAATACTACACCTGAACATATTACAAAATGGTCTTTCCATGTATAAAATTTGGGAAGCCAGTGTGATTATTTTGCAGATATAAGATTTAAAAAAACTTAATAATTACGCATTGAGGAGCTCGGGATATGTTGGATAGTAGCAGGAGTCATGCTCAGATTTTCTGATGTGAGATATAATTTTCATATCCTGGGAAATGTGAAGGTGTTTGTGTTGGGGTGGAGAAGTGTTACTGTGATGAATAAACTAGGCTTTTTAAAAGAACAGTTTCTCAACAAGTAGCTTCCTCGCATATGTGGCAGTTGAAAGAATGAAGTGGTTTATACCACAATATTTACCTATTACAATCAAAATTCTAACTGCACCACAGCTTTATTTGCATAGTGACAATTGAGCTGTAAGAGACATCATGGAAACTGGTTTGAAAGGTTAGTTCAGATTAGATATGGCAGCAGCAGAGAAGTTATTTGACATAAAACACTTGATAGCTGTTCTGGCAGACTTACACTAACTGGAATGCAGTTAGAAAGCAGGTACACCACACGTAGATTTTTTTGCCAGTAACATTTCTTTGGAAAGCATTTGGAAGCAACTGTTGACAAAATCAAAGTTTCTTTTGGTCAGGGTGAGGAGTGAAAAGTATAACATTAGAAAACAAATGACTGCACCACAGGAAATGTGCAAGATTGTGTCAGCTTTCCAGATTTTTTGCACCCTTGTATCACATGGAGTGCATTTGTATAGATATCATTGACAATCTCCAAGAAGTGAATTGTGTATTCTTAAGAATTGGTGATGAATACTCCACTGAGTTTGGAGCAGTAGTCCTGGATTGTGGATTGTGTGCGCTGTGACGTGCATTTCAATATGCAGCGCAGTATTAAGACAAAAGATTTGGATCTTAGAAATAAATAATCCTACAGTAGAGATCTTCAAGCTTGGTAAATACAGGTTGACCTTGTTTCAATGATTCAACTTCGTTTCAGTACAATGTGGGTCTGTTTATAGTGTAGTCACACCATGAACCTGACACCCCAGATGTGCTGACAATGCACCATTATAACCCGGGATCTGTGATTGTGGACCCAAATCACCACACGATCGCCGGAGCCAATCTTTATAAGCCTCCCTCATTTCTGGTAACAATAACAACTTGCGTGATATAGCACCCTTCACACAGGGTAGCATCACGGCATAATTTCTGGCATGATTGATTGCTTAACCAAATATTATTCCCTTATCTAATAAGATTCTGGTTAAAACCTATGGAAGTTAGGATCTGAGCCAACTTTCATTGGTGATTGGCCTAAAATAGCATTGTGCTATTTCTACAACTACTATGTTTCAAGATCTTGGGATAACAGGGAAAGATAAGAGTGTTTTTTGGTGGCCTCCTGACATAGAACATGCAAAGTGCTTTTATGTGTGTGTGTGTGTGTATGGAAAGACACATGACTTCTCATGCTTGGGATGAAGAAACATATGTGTATATTTTCCCTTGGTTTGGAAAATGAGGTTTTCTCATTTGATTGGGATATGAAAAAAAGGCTTAAGGGCTTACTTTTTCTGCAAGTGACATTTTGCATACACATCTATTGATGGTCAGGATTTTTTAAAAAAAAACTATGAAGCTGATGCATATTTTACTAATTATATGTACAGTATTGTGGTGTCTCAAATAATTCACGAGTAGCTTTTCTGCAGTTATTTCTGGTTTTGCTATGAATTTTGACAAGGGCAGGAAATGAGCGTTCATGTGCCAGCTAGATTCCTTAGTCTTGTCAATTTTAGTTTTGGCCAAATTTTCTTGCTTTCATTTCACTATTTTTAATGATTAACTGCTTGTTGGCACAAGTTATTCGAACATAAAACCAGTGCTAACTTAATCAAATTGACGTCAGCTTCATTTAGTACTGTATTAATTGTAATTTATATAAAATTACTTTTGTTAAGTATTGATAGTGTAATAGCTTCTATAAACCCTGAGCAAATTTTAGCTTTCAAGATGACAGGGCTAAATTTCATTCCATGTCTACAACGCCATGGGATGTGTGACAGTGGTGTTATACATAATGCTTGCATTTGGTATAGTGCCTTTTCACACTGTCGAGACATTGCAAAACACCCAACAGGATTTTTACTGTGAAGTTGCTGTGTAATGGTAGGTGAATATAGCAGCCAATTTGTGCAAAGCAGAGAGCCACAAACAGCCATGGAGATATTCCTTCTCTCCACTCCCAAGCTGCAAATATAAGTGATACACTTACATCCTGTGCCCCTGTGGAATACGTACATCAGTCTAATTTGACAGAAGTGAAACTTTGTCTTGAACCCAGCATAGTGCTGAGATCAGCAATAACAATAATTGTAATAATAATCCTTGCATTTGATATAGCATCTTATCACATCTTTTAGAAGTCTCAAAGTGCTTCACAAAATATACTGTAAAGTGAATTTAAGCGCTCTGGAATGCTACTCTGTGTGAGGGGTCCTACATAAGTGCTTGTTGTTAAATTGACTGTATTTTGTGGGCGAAACTAATATAGCCACAAAGCAATGCCGCTTTGACGGAACGGGTGGTGCACCTTGATAAAAGGGGACATCAAGTCCTATAGCCTATTCTGATCTGTGAGGGCATTGATCCCCTATGGTCTGACCTAATTGCAGAAGTACGAGTGTGATACCAAAAGGTTATATCATTTGTGCAATTACAGGGACTGTGTCTGCTTTATCAACTGACAAATGGCTCAAATCGGTCTATTGAATAAAACTACCACGATTAGATCTTATCCCAGCAGGCTTAAAAATCTACCAGAAGTCTATAGCTAATTATTTTATAACTAATTTTAGGTTAATAACAACATTTACTAAATTGGTAACTTGGTAATATAATTCATTCTGTCAGCAAAAATTATGATTTCTCTTTTGCTTTTAAAATTTAAATTGAATTTAAAATAATGGATTACTATTATGTTCACACTCCCGTCTGCCAATCGTGATTCATTTAGTATAAACCATGGAATTAATACCAAAGTCTGTTTTTGAAACTGAACACAGTGGTTACACTTTATTAATTTCTTTAGTGATTTTTTTCAGAAGGTGCAAGGTTAAACTGCCACTTTTAATGGCTGAGTAACTGTTTTAGGTCACTGATATATAGTGCACTATAACGTTTGTATTTCAGCCCATTCTACAACTAGCTTTGTATTTATTTCCCACTGTTTTTATTATTGTTCAGCAGATGCCAATTTTACTTTGTCTGCCACTTTTGCAGTACAGTAAAACTCCCATAAGTCTTACCTTTATGAATCGTATACTCATACATTCAGCCAAGTCCCATGCATTTCCTATTAAAACCATTTAAGATTTCTTTGCACTGCTCGTATTAATCACCCCCTAACTTGTAACGCCGCTCCCCTACCCTCTATTATTCCCACACTTACCGGAAATGATGTCCTGACCCGTTGACACATGCACACTTACCAGCCGGCTGCATCGACTTGTAGTCTTGATCTATCGACGTATACGCGGAACTTCATTACCCGCGATTCAATGCGATTCCATGCCTTGCTGGTAAGTGCACATGTGATGGATGAAGACACATTGAATCTCAGGAAATGTAGTCTTGTCTCATCACCGCGTGCACATTTACCGGCTGCATTGAATTACGCACGCCAGTGTAGGTTATTTGATTAAATCAGATTTTATCCGACTTCTCCCATTTGCCTGCAACTCGGACTTCACGTAAGTCATATCAAATGTCATGGTCTCTACTGATATAACTTGGGTGAGTTTTGCTGAAATAGCATTGGATAAGATTAAGACCAATATCATGCCAATGTTTTTAAATATACATGGAGAATCACATGAAATCAAGATGGCGTTTGCTGCAGCCACATGATAAATCTCTAAGTAAGGCTCACTAGATACTGTTTCCAAATGAATTATGATCTCAAGTGTAGATTTTTATCATGCCTCATACTTGTTGATAATCTGTTCATAACTGTTGCAGCTGACGTTTATTCAGAACACTGTTGTCGTATTGCTTTGTCAATGCATAAATAAGAACTATTTCTTAAAATAAAGAATTATTTCTGCTGGTGGGTTCTCCACACCAATGTTGTAATCATCTTATTAACACTCCCAATATGTAGAACAGTTGTGTATTGACCTAAATACTCGAAGGAGCCTGTGAATTGACATGAGTAGAATAGCAGTAAAGTAGGCCAAGTCTTCAATGTGGAGAAAATGAAAATGCATTATTCGTATCTAATGTGGTAGGAAAGAATGTATGGATTGGACATCCAGTTTGACATTCTGCTGTGTTTGTGACCCTACTGCGAAATACAGGGCGACCCGCGCTAATCAAAAGCAAAGTGCATCAAGTTTACGGTGGCTTCCCATTCACCTATTTAATTGTGGAGTGGGGGGTGGGGGGGAGCAGTAGGATTGAATTGAAAAGTACTTGTGCTTTACCAACTAACTTGTCTTGGCTAGTAATCCTTCAGATAAATTGGTCACTTGTCTCGTGGTTCAGGGAGCCTTGTGTGCAAAATGGCTTTCGCGTTTGCCTGGAAAATTGATCGCTACACTTGTAAAGTGCTTTGAGATGTTTTGACTGATAAGACGCTATTTGAAACAGTCCAATTCCTGCACATAGGGAATTCCTATTAGGAATTGAACCTTGCGATAGGCATTGAGTGAGCATAGATCAGATAATTGTGCATAGCGAGCCAATGATTTGATGGTTAATCATTCCTCTTTGGGAAGCTGTAAGGGTTGGTGGATGCATCAGTATCTAAGGATGAAATACTAAGGATTAAATTCTCCTTTTGTAACATTGTTTTTAAGGTGCCTGATGGATAAGAACTTTGTGAGGATTGGAAAATGGTTTGTCAAGCCCTACGAGAAAAATGAGAAGCCTGTAAACAAAAGGTATGTGACTACAGAGACGGACTCTGATGTATGATCTGTAAACCACCTGTTTAGTGAAGTGCTTCCAATGGTATCAGGATGCTCATAAAACATTTTTTTGACAGGAAGGTATTGTTCAGGTACAGGAAATATCAAAACACACAGTGCAACTTAAGATTCTGTTATTGTACTCCATCTTAACCTATTTATTGAATTCGTATTTCTCGTTTGTTGCTTCTCTTTAAAATTTAATTCTCTAGGTTGTTGCGGTGCCTTTTTTTCCCCCTTTGATTTTATGTAACACCTTGTTCAGAGCTTAACTGTGGTGTGTGTACGTGCATGTGCCCATACTCCAGAAACCATTTGTGTTTTGTCATTATCCTTTTTGTAAACTTTTTGTATCAGTACCAATTCTAGAAATTGTCCTTAGACACGTTTCTGAAGGATTCTTGATGGAAGCTTTTAAGTCATTGATTGCCTTTTTAGTTGGTTGCTGTTCACAATGGGTCAGTGTTCATGGACAATGGAGTTGTCTGGGCGTTTTTTCTGAATTTACAGCTTTTTCGTGAAGGATGTTTTTGATGTAAAGAAACTGTGATTCTCCTTATGCTATTGTTTTTTTTTATACTCCCAACAATTGTTCCATGTCGAATACCACAACATTTAACATTGATCCGGAAAGGGATAAATCTTGCAATGGCTCAGCCAAAATGTGTTTTCCAGAATAACTGGGAGCGGTGGGGGGGGGGGGGGGGGTATTGGTCACTGAACTGTGAAGTCTATTATTGAGCATCACAGATGGCAATTGATGTGTACCAGAGGGAACATACCAATTCACAATGAAACAACATCAGTACTATGGTAAGTGCTTCCATATGTTGGTTCTGAAGTGATTCAGTCAGGGCAGTGGCGCATCGCCTGGAAGCTCGCTCATTACAAATTTGGATTGTGGCGAGATAGAAGTTCAGAACACCATTGCAGCTCTGTCGGTTTGTGATGCAGCCACCTATTTCCTGGTTGGTAGATAGAATGATGTGGAATTTTATATTTGTACATTGACTCAAGTTTTGTAAATGCAATGGAATTCATACTTTGATTTCTACTTCTTTTGGCATCAGAGCTATTTTAAATTCCAATTCTAAAAATGACTTAAATTTTATTCTGAACCGAGGAAAAATAATAATGATAATCCTTACATTTGGTGTAACGGCTTTCGTGTTAGGAGGACATCTCAATGGGTATACTGTAAAGTGGAGTGTTTTTTGTGGGTGAGAACAACAGAAGACAGACTCCGGATGTTGCTTTCACTCTTGTTTGGCCACCGTCCAGTTGCAGTACAACTGCTTGTCAATTTGGGCTCCAGATTTTCTTGCTGCAGAGTGCTTGGTTTGATGTAGCCACCTTTCATAATGATTTGCAGACAGTGAGCCATGATGGATCTAGAGGGAACCGAAGTTCTTGATCTTTGGGAATGTTAAAACTTGTCTAGTGAAATACACAGAATATAAATCTGTCCAAAGAAAATCTCAAGTTACCGTACACAATTTTTAACATGACCATTACTTCTCAATAAGAGTGAGTGAGTGTTGCATGGATATCTTGAGATGGAAACTTTTGGAGCTAATGAGAAGTTGTTGGCCTGCTATTTTTCAAGTGGTCCTTTGCATAGTTGGTTTTAAAATCTGTGGATACCACACCTAGTCCAGCTGCTCTCCCATTTGTTTGAAACATTAAGTTTTGTAAGCAACCATTTTTATTTCAATGCTAACTCTCTGGTTGCATAATGCAGTTGAACCCAACAAACCATTTTTCTCTTTTTTTAAAAAAAACTAAGCCACACATTCTGGATGTGGCAAACACATATTTGGTTTGGAGAAAATTTGTACTCTGACTTTGGCACTATTTGGATATTGTTCAGCATTTAAATATTTTAACTTTTTATGATTTTCTCCAGTATTACTAATTTGAATAAAACATTGTAAACTCGTCAATTTAGTTTGTTTTTAAAAAAAGTTGATTCATGTAAAAAAACATTAAATGGTTACCAGATACCAGACCAGTATGATGTACACCAATATCAACACAATTTCCAACTGGCTATCACATTCTAATGGACATAAATTGCAAGTCTGAGGTAACTCTCATTGGATTTCCTTTATTTGTGTGTAGTAAGCGCACGCGTCAAAAAAATTGTAATCCAGGTACTTTCATAATAATACAATAATCCTTGTATTTGATATATCGCTTTTCACGTCTTCTAGACATCTCAAAGCGCTTCACAGAATATACTGTAAAGTGAATTGACTACATATTTGTGGGCAAAACGCAGCGGCCAATTGCGCAGCAGTCTCCCACAAACAATCATGGATTGAAATGACCAATTTATCAACTTTTTTTTGAGGGATTATTGTCAGGGTTGTGGAGTAAGGAAGCTTGCCCAAGGTTTTGCCCTGCTGGGAATCGAACCCAGGTCTCTCGCCTGTGACGCGAGTGCTCTAACCATTGAGCTACAGGACTCCACTGTACAACTTTCAAACCATTTGCTCCCCCAAATTAAATAAGATTCGAAACCATGACCACTACTTGAGTTTGGCAGCTTTAAATGTACTGTGAGCTTCAAAATTGCAGAATTATTTATGAATCATTATAGCGGCAATGAATAAATGACCATTTTATCACTGGCATCTGAATTCATCTGAGTGCTTATCGTCTTGAGCACCCCGGTGCTAAAAGCAGAGGATCTAATAAATTATTAAGAATAAATTCTATGCAACGGAGTGCAACAAGGTCTTGGAATTATTGCTTTTAGAAAGGTACTGTTTCAGTCACTTTTTTAATTTCACATTCATTAGCACAAAGTGCAGAGGATAAACTAACGGCACCTGTCATGCTGATAATTAGATTTGTCAAGACTCCGTTGTGCAGTCTGCCAGACAGTGTTGTCAGTTTTTGTAGTGGTAATGAATTGAGTGAGAGCGTTGAATATGCAAAGCCGTAATTTGCTGCTTAGTTTGGATAAAAGAAGGAAGCCCTGCTCTTTCCCGAGAACAGATGGGGAATCAATTTGTCTAATAATCGGCAGTTTCTGTTTTTTTTTAAACAGAGCTACTGGGATCAGAAAGCTGAGTGTGAGATTTAAGTATGGAAAAGAAACTAATTTGTGTCAGTGCACATTGATTTATTTCTTTGCAAAATTTATTTATTCTTTTTTGACTGTTGAGTTCTGTGTTGTTGTGCATAATGCCCTCATATTCAATGAAAGTGAATCAAAATGCTCTTCCACGTAGCAAGGCAATGGTGGGCCTTGGTACAAATGAACTGGAGTGAGGAGGCTGTGTATTTGCTCTATGTTGAACTCTCCTCTACCACCCCTTTGTGAATGTTATCAAATGGATAACTTGAAGACATTGGTCCAAAATGATTTCTTGGTTCAATTTGTACTGTCGTTTCTAAAACCACATTTTCCTAATTCCCTTACTGTATTCTGCTTCCCAGTGCTACAGCACTATACTGCATGTTACCAAGACACCAATTTACATTTATATAGCGTCCTCCATGCAGGGTAGCGTCTCAGAGCGCTCAAGACATTCATCAGCTTTGTAAGTGTAAATTACAGAATATCCTAAGATATTTCTGTACAATATTGTTTTACTACAGTTGAGTGTAGGCTATTGGATCCAAAATAAAACCACAGCCGTCTTATTACATTTTATTTTTATCGTCAGAAAATGGCTTGACATGTGTAAATGTTGAATTGCAGGGGCAGAATTTTATTAGTTTAGCAGAGGCACCTGTAATTTTGCATGAACTGAAATGCCCAAGTAATTCATTGGTCTTGCATGACACCCCAGTAATTAGAGGACAGGGATGTACAAAACAAGTTTGTTCGAAGTGAAGCTTCAGATTAATTTATGCATGAACTCTAAAAGCATTCAAGCATTCACATTCTCAATGTGATTTCTGAAAACATTCGTTTGCAATTTGTTACGGACAGATTATGAATATCTTCATTATTTATGATATTATTTGTCTAAGTTTGAGAATGAAACTGTCAAAAGTTTCAATGTACTGTGTAGGTTTCAAGGTTTAAATCCAATTTTACTTGTGGTGGGGGGGGCGATTTTAAAGCATATTTGTTAAGGATGTGTATGTTACTGTATCAGACTCTGCCACTGTCATGCACTCTGGTACACGACTGCACGTGAAGGGGGCTATAAAATGCAAGTTGTTGTATTAGTCATGCTCATACCATGAACTTGTTGCAGCACTTGTTTTCTGTTTTGTTCATTTCCCTTTGCCATTTTATTGATTTCAAACTAGCAATCTTGAGGTATTTTCTTTTGATAAGCGAGCTGTAAGTTTCTGTGAATGCTTCAGGTCAATCAATAATTATTCTAGAATCAAACATTTGTGGTTACACTTAAACACCATATTTGTTTTTTTAAAACAAAATCTGAAAATTGGTTTGAAGTTATTTGAGCAGTTGCAGTGCAATACAATTCTTCGTCATGAGAAACGTGCTGTTATGGTAGGGCAGAGGTTGAGACTGGATCTATTCTGGCGCAAAGAGGGGAAAAAATCAGTGCACATCCTGCATCTCACCTAATGACTAAATCAAGTGGCATTGATTTAACTCATGATATCTGCTTAAGACTGAGGTGGATAGATATTTGTTATAAATCAGGGTATTAAGGGATATGGGGCAAGGGTGGGTAATTGGACTTGAGGTACAGATCAGCCATGATCTTATAGAATGGCGGAACAGGCTCGAGGGGCTGAATGGCCTCCTCCTGTTTCTATGCTTGCATGCTCTGTTGTACTGCCGAAAGAAAGCTTAAATTCCTACAAAATTGAAAAATGAGCAGAGAAATCTGAGCCATGCCAAAAATGTACAGTTGCTTAGTATAGCAGGAAATGCCTGATTAAAAATACCACGCTGTTGCTTGCGAACATGCCAGTAGGGAAACATAAGAGCTTTCACTTATGTGATTTTAGTTTGTAAGCTGTGGTTTCTTTCCTCC